AACATGGTGAAATTAGCAAATAAAGGTACACGAATGTTCAATAATGAAATGTCAGAAACAGGACAACGTGGCAACTGGTACCTATCCTGTGTGATCTTTAACAATTAACGTTAAGTGAAAGATATTAAATGATTAAATTAAATCAAGGGCGCAGGAAATCTTGTACCCGGTACTCATGTAAGAGAATAAGGGCAAGAAAATCCTACTAACAAATGAAACAAAGTTTCGAAAACAAATGAAACAGTTAAATGCTTCAAAAGTAAAATTGGTAGTCCAAGGATGTAGGCATACCTTGCCAAGTCTCTATAGGACATAAAGCAAGTTTTTCCTACTGAATTTAATATGATACTTACAGAATTAGCGAACTTTTGTGCTCTGAAAAAATAAGCTAATTCCCTACCGTTGTATGTATCATCATCTCTGACTGACGTGTAGGGGTGCGAGGTGTCAACTGGTGACGAGAACTGCTGCTGAGGTCCCAATTCAGCAACTAAAGTTCGAGCTAGAGGAACTATGGCCCTCTTTGTCCTCCTACAGTCAGATTGCAGAAGATTGGGTACTCTTGACCCGGGGCAGACCACAGTACCAGGGTACCAATATGATGATCTGTCAGAATGAGAAATATTCAAGGGACATAGATGGTAAATACGAGTAATAACAAGGAGGGAGAGATGACCAATTAAGAGTATGACTGAGGCCTACAGTCACCACGTAATCCAAAGTTGTCTCACCTTCACTATATGTTACTCTCGTAATGCACAATACACCGCACCTTATAAAAAATGAAATTGAATGAAAAATAGTAAAGCTACGTTAACAAAGTTAAATACGCTTACCATAAATTACCACTTGGCACCAGTACCTGAGTGAGGCTCCTAGGACAGGCCCCCATATAACTTGTGACGGTAACGCGTTGGTGTTCGGCTGTTTAAGGCTAGGGGTATGGCCTCGTCACATAGTTATAAAAAAAAATAGAAAAACTGGAACTTCGTCTGTGGTAAGGTAAGGAGAAGACACACAAAACACAAGTAAACTTTAACAATGAAATTTTAATTACGTTAAATAAATCAAACATGAAAATAATGCACAAACAAATTCTTATAATAAAATCAATGAATCAAAATAATAAGAATACTTAAATGACACAATGAAAGTTACGTTAAGGCAAAATAACAAGAAGTGCAATACAACAGTAAGTGGGAGGTGCTGGAATATTGGCTTAAAGCCACCACCTCTCTCAGTACACTCTAGAGTCTAGCTGGGAGGAGTGCTGGCTACGAAAGCACGGAACATTCTGAGGACTGATGTTGGGGCGACCCCAGACATCAGGTAGTATTGGGGGCGAGTGCAGGTGCAGCCAGACCGGCGACCAATCAGCGGAGCCGTAGCGATCAACGGGTAGTTTGGTGGTTGGAGTTCGAACAGGTGGCTGGTTGCATACGTTTCTGCTCACCCTGGCAAGCCTTGCTGGTGCTGGTGTTGTTGTCGTTGTTGGACATTTCTTCCATAGTCTTTTTATATAATTGTGAAGACGTAATTTTGGAGGGAAGAGCAGGCTCAATCTCTTGAAGGAGATTATCGTCACAATATATATATATATATATATATATATATATATATATATATATATATATATATATATATATATATATATATATATATATATATATATATTACAATGTGGCTGTTGAATGATATCAGGGCTGTGAACATCAACCAATTAGAGTGAGACAGCTTGGCTTCTCGCGAGATCTCATTGGCGGAGGCGAGAGTTTGGAGACCTCACTTGAAGCCAAGCAGTGGTAGGAACAGCCGTATTGATCAGCTCCTTCTCTCCAGATACCTCGTACCCACATTAGACGCTTGTTAAATGTCATTGAGGATGATATCATAGCGACACTGTATGGAAGAATTGCAGCCGGGACTTAATCTGGTTTCCGTTAGACCAAGTAAATAGGCCAAGAGGATATTTCGTTCACACACACACACACACACACACACACACACACACACACACACACACACACACACACACACACACACACACAAATTGTCCATATCCACGTCTCGCTTATCAGCACACAACTCGACATATATTACCACCATTTTATTCTAGAAAATCCGTTAAAGCATGGATAAAGATTCGAAGCTATTCGCTGGGTATTTCCCGGCACACACCCCAGACAACCAGGATTGCAATCTGGGGTTCTATACTAAACCATCGAGGGTTTCTGAAGCTTTAACTGAAACCAAATCAGGATTTCACACACTCTCCCCCCCATACACTCTGGCTCTGTCGTGTAGGAGTGTTCTACTCTGACGCTCGTCTTTCAATACACACAGAGCAATCACACTTACGTGATGTATCAGTGAGAAAATCAGCAATTATTGACAATTGTTGCATGATATATATTTATATTAATATACATTCACATATACATTCCTTCATATATTCACACATAAATTCGTACCAACATCCAAAAGCATACACAACCAGGAACCAGCTAATGTTAAACTGAAATTATTTCCAGAGCTCTTCTGAGATAATGAAATCACTTTACAACTAATATGACAACGTTACCGGGGTGCTAAAAGAGAAATAATAAAGAAAACATCAAAGGTCAACTCAAAGCGTTATGTAAATAAGAATCAGCTGGTTAATGGACTCGCCCAAGGCACAGGGACGGGTGGTAGCGTGGGAGGGAAGGTGAGAAAAAGAGAGAGAGAGAGAGAGAGAGAGAGAGAGAGAGATAGAGAGAGAGAGAGAGAGAGAGAGAGAGAGAGAGAGAGAGAGAGAGAGAGAGAGAGAGAGAGAGAGAGAGACAGAGAGAGAGAGAGAGAGAGAGAGAGAGAGAGAGAGAGAGATTAGAATCATTAGGTAAATAAATAAATAAACTTAACATATAGGGGGGTCAAATTACTGGCAAAATTTCACTAAGAGCGTCAGTGGGGCAAGAAGTGCAAAAATAATCGCGGTATTTGACGGACAAATTCAATCTGGATAACAATATTAACCTTCTCGGAAGGAATGAAGGTAGAAAGAAATCGTATACTTGCGCCCAGATTGTTGAAGAAACTAAAAACATAGTATATAAGAACGTAAATTTATTTTTATAATGTAGGCGAAATACAGGAGATCAACATTCAATACAGAAGAATTAAAGGTATTACACAAGGCCTACAGCAAATACAGGAAGCCTACAGCCCATGAAAAGCAGTTTCTATTTATACAGACAAACACCCCGACTCATATATGCCTATCCCACGCTTGAAATACTCCAACGACCCAAAGTGAAACAGGTCAATCAGCAACACTAGTTCCTATCCAGCCCTTACAAAAACAAAACAAAAAAATATCTAAATCTTAACATATCCATTTCCTTCTGTCCCTTGTTGAGTGATCAATTTTGTGTTGATTTAAATTAACACATCTTGTAATATTCCATTGTTATACTCCTTTAATCAATTTGTACACGTCAGTCATGTGCCATGTTTTCTCTCAAGATAACAACAACTTTGTTTAACATATTATAAGTGAGATTTGTAATGCCAGGCACGAATTTATTCATCCTTTTCCGAACACTCTCACGAGACTTACTTTAAGTTTATTTTGTAATGCAGTTGCTAGAAGGAAATTAAATTAGATGTAAATTATGGCTTTTGCCATTTGCCGTCGGTAAACTTACAAAGTTCCGGTACACCAAGGGGGGGGGGGGTGCTACCAATTTATCATCCGTATACTCATACAGCTCATACACACACCAGGGGCTGCCAATTTTCTATTAAAAAACTGTTCTGTATAGCTCAATTCAACCTAGACTATTTCAGTTATATTTTATGCCTTTCATTAAATAAATCGGTGAGTTCAAATTATTTTGTTTATATTTTTTATTGTGACTCACGTTAGCGCTCAAAATATTGCTATATTGGAGGGTAGAGGCAGGTTGATAGATCATTGGTTGATAATTATCTCTAACGCGGTTGATAAGCCTTAATAACCCTCTCACGGTTGATAGGCCTTAAGCCCAACACCAAACCAAACATAGACCATGATTTGGACATGTATATGAGTGGGATTGGGTGATTATAAATAGCAGCTGCCTCGTGTGGGCCAATAGGCCTTATGCAGTTACCTTTGTTCTTAAGTTCTTATTTACCAAACACTTACAAAACCTCTGACGAAACGTGTACATCTTTGTGCAGACGACGAAGAGTCACACAATAACGTGGCTGAAATATGTTGACCAAACCACACACTAGAAAGTGAAGGGACGACGACGTTTCGGTCCACCCTGGACCATTCTCAAGTCGATTGTGAACGATCCAGGACGGACCGAAACGTCGTCGTCCCTTCACTTTCTAGTGTGTGGTCTGGTGAACCTGTACATCTCTCACCACGGCGCCGCCTCTGTGTACACGTATTAAGCTACTTGAGTGCGCTACTCACAGAGGACGTTGAGGAAGAAGGAGGCGTTGACGTGGCCGTGGGGGCTGTAGGCCCGCACAGTGTAGGTGCCGGTGAAGCTTCTCGACACCCTCACCAGCTCCAGCTCCCCGTCCACCCCTCCTGACACCAACTCCGTCTCCTCCCTCCGTCACAAGTACCTGTCAGGGACAGTTGCTTCAAAGTTGATTGAAAAAAAAACAGTATTATTTATATTTTAATGATCCTAACGATAATAATAATAATAATAATAATAATAATAATAATAATAATAATAATAATAATAATAATAATAATAATAATAATAATAATAATAATAATAATAATACACAGAGAAATCACTTTTAACGTAAAATATAAAAAAACAAATCCACAGCAGCCTTGATGAGTCGACTAAAGCGCGTCTGGGTTCACTCAGTGCCCAGGTTCGATCCCTCATCAGTGCTCCTGTGGATTTGTTCAATAATAATAATAATAATGATAATTATTTAACCGCTTTTGAAGAGGAATTTCCCCGGGGTCTTATCTACGAGGCTGGGAATGTGTTAGGCATTACCTGACGGGTCCCGGGTTCGAGGCCGCAGCAGCAGTGATGACCAGGTCGGCTCCCTCGTACACGTCGAGGTGATCAGGTGGTTTGGACAGCCATATCGGAGTGTCTGTTCAGAGGGATAGTAATTTGAGTCAATTATATGTGTTAAAGAGAGAGAAGGGAAGCTAAATTAGAAAAGAGAGAGAGAGAGAGAGAGAGAGAGAGAGAGAGAGAGAGAGAGAGAGAGAGAGAGAGAGAGAGAGAGAGAGAGAGAGAGAGAGAGAGAGAGAGAGAGAGAGAGAGAGGAGAGAGAGAGAGAGAGAGAGAGAGAGAGAGAGAGAGAGAGAGAGAGAGAGAGAGAGAATTATAATTAAAAGATATTAATTTATATCTTTTAATATAATTAAAAGATATTAATAATCTCGATATAAATTATAATAAAGAGATCCAGAATTAGAATTAAACCTTATTCTTCCTTGTATAATGGAGGAAGTTAGAGGAGAGATGCAGCAAGAGAGTGAGACTAAGTGGATCAAGGGGAGAAAGTCATATTCTTTGAGAGATATTTCTAAGTGTCAAAAGATGATTCATAGCAGAAAGACATATATAAACAATTTCAGATGAACTGAATGAAGAAGACACTAAATAATATTAAGAACAATATGTAAGTTATCTCACCGGGATAAAATAAAAGCGCGGTAAAAATACTTCTAAAAATCAACTGACTTTCATTTTAGTAAAAGAAAAATGGACGAATAAAAAAAACTACAGAGGTATAGAATTTTTTCTATATATAAGAATTTCTCAATTATACTAGAATATACACCCGGCAAGTGAATATAGTTAGCTATATCTAATTCTTGGAAACAAAGACGCTGTTAAATAACATCGAGACAAGATGGACAGAACAATGAGAAATTAAATAGGAGACAGTAAATTCAGGGTTCCAGCTATGCCTGAGGATGGATAAGCATATGACCTGATGTATGGGTAACTAGAACACTTTGGATAATGATGATAAACACGAGGTTCGGCCCTCTTATTTGAAATACGAGTGGCGTATTTATATAAACAGAGGAGGGGACAGAGAGGAAGTAGAGGGTCATATAGAGACTGGGATCTATGAGAGAGGCCAGATTTAACGAGCGGAGTACCACAAGAGCAGACACTAAGAGAGCAGACACTAAGAGAACAGACACCACAAGAGCAGACACTAAAGTCTGAAAGAAAAAAAAATGCCCATTCATACAAATGCTTGTTAGCGTTGTAAAACAAAAGAGTGGGATGAGAATAGATAAGAACTACGATACTACGCAAGGCGAACTTGACAAACTGCGGAGGTAGTCTGAAAATGACAACTTGACTTTATACACCAGCCAAATGGAATGGTATGAGAATCGGAACTGGAGTTTGAAGGTCCGTACCTGGATGGGGTTCTGGGAGCACTTCTACTCGTTGTGTTCTATATCTCGTTCTTCTATCTAATTCTATACTCATTCTTCTAGATCGTTGCACAGAATGAATCGGATACAGAATCCTGCTTGGGAAACGGACGATGATCTAATAACGTAAAAGGTAAGGGCAGAGACACGTTAGCAAAATATCGTCAGAAACTTGCCAATGTTACCAACGTTCGGTTAGATTTAAGGAACTTGGACTAAAGAATCCTTCCTAACGCAATATGCAGTCTTTGTGAGACCACTCATGTGAGTATGCTGCCCCGGCCTGGAATCCATAGGTGTAGAAGCAAACAAACAAACCTAGAAAAATCCCGAAGATATGTAAAAAACAAACAAATAGGAGCTGCCTCGTATGGGCCAATAGGCCTTCTGCAGTTACCTTTGTTCTTATGTTCTTAAAAAAACGAGGGATTTGAACTACGAGGAAAGATTGAGAACACTAGACTTCAACATTAAGGCGGAGAGAACCTATGAATAAATCATGATAGCGACGAATAAGTATCTAATGAGAATGCATCAAATTAACGAAGACACAATTACACAGGATCCTGTGTAATTCTGCAGGATCCAAGTATATTCAGTAGAATTTCTGGTTGCAATTCTTTTACCATGTCGTAGCTCTGTCGATTAAGGCAGCGTCTGGGATGCTCTCGGACGTAAGTTCGAATCCTCGTCACGGCCCTTCTGGATTTGTTTATTTGAAGACACAATGTTCAAAATGAGGACCAGGATTACACGGAGATGTTAATAGATTTGAGACAAGAACGCGCTACAGAGACGACAGAGAAAACCGGCACTAATTTGAGAGTCATAAATATTGGGTACGAAAGATAAGAAAAGTTGTTCGAAGCAACTCAGTACACAGCTTCAGTTTATATACAATAATAACAATGTAAGAAAAGAATCATAGCATTAAAATATTTACACAATATAACATAACTTTATTTTGTCCTTCTGTAGTAAGTGTTATTTACAACTGCTTATCCTCCAAAGTATAACCAATGATTATTCCCCTCAAACGTCGCTTTGACCGTGGCTTTGGGCAGCTTGTGGAAGATTAAGGATGATGTCGTCTTGCCGATAGCCTGGGGCAAGATTCACGAAGCTCTTACGCAAGTACTTACGAACGTGTACATCTTTCCTCAATCTTTGACGGCTTTGGTTACATTTATTAAACAGTTTACAAGCATGAAAACTTCCCAATCAACTGTTGTTATTATTATAAACAGCCTCCTGGGGCTTCGGAGCTCATTAACTGTTTAGTAATTGTAAACAAAGCCGCCAAAGATTGAGAAAAGATGTACAGGTGCGTAAGTGCTTGCGTAACTGCTTTGTGAATCTGGCCCCTGAAGGCAGCTGCCTTATCAAGAACTGTCATATTTTATTACGTAAGTCGTCTCAGACACCTTTTATACATCTTGCCAAAGCTGTCTAAGGCGGAGGTCGAAGCAAAGTTGAAAAGGGGGGGGGGATAATAGCTATTTTCTATACTTTGGAGGCAAAAGTAATTAGAAATACTTTTCTAATTAATATTTGATTAGACTTACCATTTACCGCCCTGGGACGCAAACAGTTTTATACAGTGTTGTTGTTTCGAAAGACGGAGCTTTGGAGTTGGCGCTCGACGATGCGAGCGAGCATAGGTAAGTGAGTATATTTTATTGTGTGTGCACACGCACACGCACACACACACACACACACACATACACACACACACACACACACACACACACACACACACACACACACACACACACACACACACACACACACACACACACACACACACACACACACACACACACACACACACACACAGTAAATCTAACGTGTTTTAAAGCTGGTATGTCGACGCCTTTTCTCTCTCTTGTCGTACACCTGGTATAATCCCCCCCCCCACTCCCTTCCCCGCTGTTAACCATCTGATTTTTATTTTCTCCTCACACACCTGTTACTCATTGTCTCCTCTCACACCTGGTACTCACTTTCACCTGTCATTCTTGGACTCATCTATCTCTTTACTCATATGCTACTCACCTTCCCTTCACACACCAGGTACTTATGTTCTTCTTACATACCTGGTTCTAACTTTCTTTTCACACTTGAGAATCTCGCTTTCTCCTCTCACAACTGTACTCACTTTTTCCCCCCACACAACTGGTACTCATTTTCTTCTCACGCAACTGGTACTCTCTCTCTCCTCACACACCGGGTGCTCATTTTCTCCCTATACAACAGATACTTGGTACTCATATTTTGTCCCTCACCTGATGAAGAGGATGACGATGAGTATGATGTTATAGTGATAATCACTAGAAATTAAAATTACATGATTTAGTTACAGCATTTCAATACAAAACATTAAGTACTACTGTTCTCTAGGTAGATATGTCAAGTTGAATGACAGTCATACAGGAAGATAAGTGCCATTGAGTGGTAGATAGAAGTAGATATGTATCAGAGAGCGGTACTCAAATGAATCGACATGTACCATAAAATGATAGTCCACATCCATAAATTTTATCAGGAGCGCATCAATTAAAAAACACTAATATGTTTATCTCTCAAAATAGTCAAAGTTTGGACAGCATTCTCTTACTCCTGAGAGAATCTTCCACGATTTTGGAAGCCCTTTATTGGCACGGTTTCCTACTTAGATTGCGTCGGGCTCTGAGAATGCCGGATATATTTATTCGTTTCTCGTGTGAGGTCTTTGAGCTCTGTTGTTACACTACAGAGATCTTCTGATGTTAGTAGAAACATTATAGTGTAGGAATTGAAAGAGAGTGAAGAATATATATATATATATATATATATATATATATATATATATATATATATATATATATATATATATATATATATATATATATATATATATGTCGTACCTAGTAGCCAGAACGCACTTCTGAGCCTACTATGCAATGCCCGATTTGCCTAATAAGCCAAGTTTTCATGAATTAATTGTTTTTCAACTACCTAACCTACCTAACCTAACCTAACCTAACTTTTTTGGCTACCTAACCCAACCTAACCTATAAAGATAGGTTAGGTTAGGTTAGGTAGGGTTGGTTAGGTTTGGTCATATATCTATGTTAATTTTAACTCCAATTAAAAAAATAATTACCTCATACATAATGAAATGGGTAGCTTTATCATTTCATAAGAAAAAAATTAGAGAAAATATATTAATTCAGGAAAACTTGGCTTATTAGGCAAATCGGGCCTTGCATAGTAGGCTGAGAAGTACGTTCTGGCTACTAGGTACGACATATATATATATATATATATATATATATATATATATATATATATATATATATATATATATATATATATATATATATATATATGCGAACAAGCCTGAATGGTCCCCAGGACTATATGCAACTGAAAATTCACACCCCAGAAGGGGTGTTGGTCGAGCGGTTAAGGGATCCTGTACGCCAGCAGAGTGCTCCTGGCCGTATGGGTTCTGGGGTGTGAGTTTTCAGTTATATATATATATATATATATATATATATATATATATATATATATATATATATATATATATATATATATATATATATATATATATATTTATATATATATATATATTTATATATATATGTATATATATATATATATATATATATATATATATATATATATATATATATATATA